ATTTGCATCTGTATATATATATATATATATATATAGATAGATAGATAGATAGATAGATAGATAGATAGATAGATAGATAGATAGATAGATAGATAGATGTATATATACATTCACATACATATGCACAAGCATATATATCTTTATGCATATATATATATATATATATATATATATATATATATATATATATATATATATATATATATATATATATATATATATATATATATATATATATATATATATATATATATATATATATATATATAATATATATATATATATATATATATATATATATATATATATATATATATATATATATATATATACATACATACGCATATGTATATATATATAATGTACATATGCATGTTTTCTTTTAAATTTCCATTTATAATGTGATAGGATATAACATAAGATAATCTATATTTACGACCATAATGTGATCATAAGAAATCTCTCAACACCTAGGTAATATGGGAAAACATGTGAACAGTTCACTAGATCGTCATGCTCTAGCAAGAAAAAAAAATTATCTTGAAAATCTACTATCATAGATAATAATATAGAGTATAAGCTTTGACATCAAAATGCTTTCATATTTATAAGGCCATGGCTAAGAAGAGGTTTATCCTTCGTATGCCTACGCTTTTAATTCATTATGTCTCAGTGCTCATGCATAGGCAACAAATAGCCATTATTGTTTTAATTAGATAATTTTTGTTTTAGCCTTGGGCATATTCAAGCCTCCCAAAGTGTTCCATGACGAATGAGATACGGGAAGCTTCTCAAATGGGTTCATGTTTTGTTTACGGAATGTGTTTGAATGGTCAAAAGAATATTACGTGGTACAGCTCTGCTAGATAGTCCACAACTCGTGTTTTAAAAGTAATAGAAAATTCGACAGTGGCTGAGAGTTTCCAATCACAATTACCAGTATTAATGTAATCAGTGGTCTGTAAAAATGTTATTAAATAAAATGAATAAATAAACACTCACCCAGCGACTCACCTATACATTCACCCATCCATCCCTCTGTATAGCATCCTTGTAACACGCCTCCTGCTATCCACAGGCCTCAGCCCACAATGACCCAGTATCACAGGTTAGTCGACTTTTGTCCTCATTAACGGCATACGGTGATCTGATGATCCTTAAACCTGAACCTAGATATATAGGTTTATGTACAGATGAATATATATATGTGCCCGTATGTTTGTATAGGTGTGAATAGTACGCCACACACACACACAAAACACAAAAAAAAGCACAAACACACACACACTCTAACACACATATATATATGTGTGCGTGTATCTTTATTATTATTATTATTATTATCATTATCATTGACATTATTATTATAAACACACACACACACATATATATATGTATGTAATATATATGTATTTTTTCCTATTACATAAACTGTAAAATCATAACTGCCTGTGCATTGTAAGTACTAACAGCAATCTTTCTTTTTTATTCCCAACAGAGAAGACACTAGTAGACAACCAGGAGTATCAAGCAAATCGTTTTTTTTTTTAATATATTTCCAAACGATACAAGTTGAATATCACATTTATAGAAAAAAAGTTCCCTATTGTTCACACTGAAGCGGTGCTTTCCCACTGGGTGAATAACGGTATAATCTTAGGTTTAAGAATGTCTCTGAACAAAATCAAACCACCTAGAATTTCTTGATTGTCTTCGTAGATTTATCTAAGTAATAAAAAGGGCCAGCCTACTATGTCCTATCTGGGACTGAACAGTCGTCTGTTATTGTTATATACTAGTTATTGTGGGACTAACTTAAGTATTGTAGGACTTCCTTGTAGAAACTGCCATGTATTCACTTGTATCGCAATTTTAACTTAAGTGTCATATCTATGTCGTCATATTTTGAAAACTAGATGTATTTTCATTTGCTAGAATGAGTGGAAAGCAAATCGTATGAAATAGACAGTATATATGTCGTGTATACAGTGTCCATGGATGTGTACATATACACAAACACACGCACACACATTTACATCATACATACATTCATACATACATATACATACCATACCTATTGTATATATTACCTATACACTTAATTTCACGAAAAAATGTGTCATTGTTGAAAACTGTATTTTAATGTATTATTATATAGATGAATATTCGCCTCATTTTCCTTGCATTGGGAGTAAAATTGCACTTAAATTGCAATATAAATTTAATTATTGTAGAAAAATATTAACATTTTATAATAAATATTTCGTCAATCGGGATTTTTATTTCAATCTCTTTGTGTGAATTCAGTGATGTTAACAGAAAAATTAAATAAAATGCAAAACGCTATAGTGATTGCAACATCCAGGAATATCATTTGAGTGTTATCAGATATTGATAAATGTACCATATGTATCTCTATACATCCATGACAGATCTTGATCATGTTTATGCTAATTGCACAACCGGAACTGCTGGCAAAGTAAAGAACGATATCTGCACCATCTGTCTATCTGTCTATCAGCAGACAATAGGAGGGAGGTAGGGCTTAATCAGGATGAGAAAAGTGGTCGTTTATAATGTTTATTTAGAGTGAGAAAGGTTCGGTTTATTACATTTAAGGTGAGAGACGGCGTTCCTTATTTAGGGTGCGAAAGTTGTGGATTATTCGGGGCGAAAGAGTGGAGTGTTTTGTATGCAGGTTGAGAGACGGCGTGAGATAGGAGTGGACGTTTTGGATGAGGGGATCGAGTGGTTTACTTTGAACGAGGAGGGTCATTTGGTTTATCTAGGGTGAGAACTAGGCGAGAGGGAGAGATCAAGTGAGAATTTATTAAGCTTAATTAACATAGTTTGAGAAGTTTATTGAGGGTGAGGAGGGAGGGAGAAATAAATTTTACTCAGCGTGATAATTTGAAGGAGGTGGAGGAGGCCTGTGGGACGACCGAGGAAGTCGTGGCTTGGGCAGATCGATCAAACCTGTCTGAGAAGAGAGAGGGAAATCAAGCCTATTCAAGATGAGACAGAGAGAGAGAGAAATTTGTCAAGGATGAGGAAGGGTAAGGAAATTGGTTTACTCAAAGTGATAATTTATTTGAGAGAAGTTTATCCAGGGTGAGAAGAGAGGTAGGAATACAGACAACAAAGAAGTTTATCCAGAGGAAGGATTGAGGGAGGAATGACTCTTACTCACGAATATAACTTGCCGGAAATTCTGGTTGTTGTCTCAGTCCCTAAAAATCCTATCGGAAATCTTTTGTTCACACATGAAACACCTGCCCCGCTCAGTTGCCTTACTGATAAAACGCCTTATCAAGGAACAAATAAGCGACGCTGATAAACAATGAGTTGTGTATCTGTTTATCTTGATATATCCTATGTATAATGTAAGAAGTATTTCAATATAATCTTTTGAGATTCGTATTTAGATAAAAACGTATTCGCTTAGAGGAATTTGTAAGACACTAATGTTTAAGCTCTATTATTTGGAAAATTAATATCTTAATTAAAAACAAAGCTATTTCAGTGGAGAGATTACTTTCATTTTCTGCCCTTTGAATATATATGTATATGTATATATATGTATATGTATATATATGTGTATATATGATATATATATACATATATTATTTTCTGCCCTATCAAAATATACATATGTATATATATATATATATATATATATATATATATATATATATATATATATATATATATATATATATTTGTGTGTTAACAAATTTATATATGCTATATATATAAATGTGTGTATATATATATGTATATGTGTATGTATACATATATGTATGTATGTATGTGTTATCATTACCTTTTAATTAGCTCGTCTACATTTCATTTACAATTGATATACTATTCGTAAAGTAAATTAAGTTGGAATGGCAACTCTTTAGTAAAATGGAAATATAAACTGACAAAAAATTAAATAAACAAAACGAAAGCTTATGAATTTATAAACTGAAACCTTGTGTAGTTTATGTAGTAAATGCTGATTTTGATAGTTAATGTTTTTGTTGTATGAAATATACAGTAAATTTTAATATAAATTCACTGAAATTTGTTCGGGCAATAATTTTCTAATTCATAAATTGCCTCTTGACGAATGATATTTGAGCTCCTCTTGCTAATTTCAAGGACTAGAAAATTTCATACTTTGTCTAATAATTGGTACAATATTAATTGTGACGTCACTGTATTGTACTTGACTGATGAGTTAATGGGAGGAAAATTTATGTATTTCATAAGGCGGAAGTCTTGTCACTTTTGAGAGAAATGACACCGATAAAGAAGTGATATGTAAAGAGATTAAAGTGCCTTGTCAGTCATAACCGAGTGTGTGAAATGCCGATGATTTCTTTTAGAAATATATATATATATGTATATATATAATGTGTATATATATGTATGTATGTATGTATATATATAAGGTAGAAAAATACTGCAAACAAGATCTATTGAAAATGATACATTTTCGATATAAATATATTGAAAATAATACAGTTTTGATATATACATATTTATTGAAAATTATACAACACTTTCGAAATACATATGTGTGTGTGTGTGTGTAAATACAGATATTTTATATATTATTGTACCGAAGCTACAGATCATCAGTACATCAGCAGTAATAGCATTACAAGCCCACCATACTGCCAGACCGGGCTCCCCAAATAGGCATAGCCCGGGCGAGGCTCTGCCTCGCGAATCTAAAAAAAAAAAAAAAAAAAAACCATACTGCCTGCCAGGTCATTTATGGAAGGCCCGGTCGAAGCTAGAATTTCGCTAATCTCAAAGTAAGCACTATATTGCCACTATAACTATTTATGCTAAATAAAATAAATGACAGTTTAGCAATAAATGCATTATTAACTCTCCTTCCTCAATCATTCATGCCTCAACCGATAATTAACAACCGCCTCCTCCTTCTCTTCTACTCCCCCCCCCCCTCGTTACTTCACACTCCCCCTTCACACCAGCGCCTTATCTCGAACCGGACGTATGTCACAAGACGGAAGGTTCAGGAAGACGGAGCTGACGTCGCTTCGGAGTGAGAGGTCTACAGACACTCGTCTCCCAGTAGTGGTTGTGTTAACTTTCTAGAGCGTTGGTTCTACGGGTTCTCTTGGCGTTTGCAGTGGACCTATATACGTGTTGTGTAGTGGAGGTTGTGTTTACCTTTGAAAGATCACTGAATCTACAATTTTCTTGGGTGATTCAGGTATTCTGTTGTGGTGAGCTATATTATTTGTGTGTGGTTCTTTCATTATTTTACATATGATATGGTATTCAATTTCTAAAAGCAGTGAGGAAGGACTATCACGAAATAACTAAACGATATATAAGAATCAACAGATCAAGTAAATAGCCCTGATATGAAGCAAAAGCGATTTTTTTCTGGTTATGTACAAATAACATTGTTAAGGGGAAGGAGGTCATGGTCATCCCTCTCCAAAATATACATAGACATGCATATTTTATTTGTTTGTTTGATTGTGTTTATTGTAATCATCCGAAAGAACGAGAAATCCAAAATTGGATGGAAGCTTTCACAGAAAATCACTTAAGATACATAGATATATAAAGACGACTTTCAGTTATTTCGGAGCCTGTATTTATATGTGTATAATATATATGATATATATATATGATATATGATATATCTATATATAAATATATGTATTTGTGTGTGTGTGTGTGTGTGTGTAGATAGAATGATATATAGATATATATATTTAAATGTATATGCATATGTTTATATGTGTATACACACATAAACCTAACTACATACATACATACGAACGCGCGCGCACACACACACACAAACGTGTGTATAGATATATATCTATATATATTCATTTATATGTATATATATATGTGTGTGTGTATATATATATATATTAATGTTGTTGCTATGTTATTATTATTATTATTACAATCGTCATTGTTATCATGATTATCATTATTACTATTATTATCATTATTGTTGTTGCTGCTGCTGGGTATTTTGTTATTACCATTATTTTATGGATGTCCTTCTTATCCGCTGACATTGCAAGAATATCAGCAATGGAATTAGGAACTTCATGGACGTCATAATCTTCTTAAACCTACCTTGATTGCGTTTCCTTGAAATATTGTGGTAATTCCTGATAAATCATTAAAAATAAACTAATTTCTTCCATTCATTGCAACTAGCATTCCACTAATAAATATCTAATTAATTATGAAATATGCATCATCCCGTTACAGCATACCGGAAATGTTGGCACCCCTTACGATGAGGCTGTGGGTGATAGTGGCAAGCCTGAACCTAGTATGGGTCACAATGGCCGATTCCGTGAATACTATTTCTCCTGAAGGTCAGTATCACGTAATTCCCATCCAGTATATAAATCCTGATTGCTCTCTCTCTCTATCTCTCTCTCTGTCTCTCTCTCTCCCTCTCTCTCTCTCTATCTCTCTCTCTCTCTCTCACACACACACACACACACACACACACACACATATATATATATAAATATATATATATATATATATATATATATATATATATATATATATAGATATATATATATATATATGTATATATGTGTGTCTGTGTGTGTAATAAAAAAAAATGTAAGGAGAAGACATCGATACAAAATAAGAATAATAATTAAATAGATAGGTAGATAGATATACAGATAGGCCAGTAAATAACAAGAATAAATAGATAAGCAAATAAATGAACTCGCCTCCCAACCACCAGCTCGCTCCAGCCCTCCAACCCTCTGGCTCCTCGAACTACGAAAAGTGCCCCGCGAGTCAACACCAAACGACCACACGTCCCGAGACCACGACGTCAAACTCGTGCTGGACGAACACACCCTCGTCGTGGGCGTGACTCGTTGGACACTGACCTTCCTCAAGGGCGGACAGCAGTTCACGAGTTCCCTAGACGCCCTCACGGAGACCGACGGCATCCAGAGGGAGTTCGTTTTCAAGACGGAGCTCGTGGAAGGTGCCACCGCGGTCCTGGTGACGGCGAAGGGAAGGAGCGGCAGCGTGTTGGCGACGGGAACAGCCTACGTTCAGATTCCGGGTAAGTGGGAGGGGAGAAGAAGGGAGAAGAAAGAGTGAGAGGGGGATAGGAGAGAAGAAAGAGGAGGATAGGAGAGAAAAAAGGAAGAGGAGAATAGGATAGAAAAAAAGGAGAAGGGGTGATAAAAGTGAAGGAGAGGGAGGTAAAAGGAGATAATCGGAATGAGAGAGAAATTGAAGATAAGGACAACAGAGAGAGGGACGGGGGGGGGGGAGGACGAATGAGAAAGACAAGAGAAAATGAGTCTGGAAGATGAGAAGTGCAGAGAGGAGAAAGGAGATAATAAGAATTAGAGAATGAGTGAAGATATGCCAGGAAAAGAAAAAAATATTATAAGATTACAATAATAATCAGTACATATTTATTTCATCAGCATTATTATCACCACTTATCATAATTGCTATTGCTATTATCATTATCATTATCCATAATTTCATTAATGAGGGATTAACACTCATTACATACTCTATGACCTTTGATCAGTACAGACAAACCAACAGCAAATCCATTTTCTCCCCCCTCCTTCAACCAGACTTGGACTCCAACGTGGCTTGGGTAGGGGGGGAATACCACCCCTCTTCCCCCTCCTCACTGCGAGTCGACTCTGGCACCTTGTCGGAGGTGTGGGTCGGCAGTCGAGTGTGCAGAAGAGAGAAGGCCCCCTGTTATTTCCTGCAGAAGGAGCTGCCGGAAGTTGTTTCTCGGTGTGTGACTCTCTCTGACTCTCTCACCAATGTGCCCCTTCTCCTGTGTGACGATACTGTGCTTCCCTTTCACGGTGAGTGGGGATTCGGACGCGTCTTTCGTTCGTTTGCTGTGATTGGGACAGACAATCTATTCGCACCGTGTTCGTTGGTTTGTTTTGCCAGTACCTATTTGCTAGTTGTATGCATGCGAATTCATTTTCAAAAGACGTTTCCACGAATGTTTGACAACTATCAGGCAATGATAACAATATCAATAATCAATCAGTAAATCCTGGTAAGAATTCTGTGACTGATGACAACCAGTTTACGAATGCCTTTTTATTTTTATATCTATACCAATAAGAATATGATGAAATAATAAGTAGAGCTCACTTATCCTTCAAAGGACTTCCCAAATTAGCCATGAAATACGAGCGAACTACCAAGGCGCCGCCTATTTCTTCCTCAGAACTCTACCAGACACCGAGCCTCTACATCACTGACGACTACCTGCTGGAAGTCACCATGATTCTGCCGCAGGATGTGGTCCTGGAGGGAAGGGAGGTCGTCGCCTACGACCCTGAAGACCCCAACGTCGTTTTCTCACCCGAAGGCTTCAGGTGCAATCCTTCCGCAGGAATGGGAGACCAAGGTGAACGCACGTGCACCCAGCGACTCCACATGACCGAGGCTAAGGACGCAGTATCGGTGTTAGTGGTGTTGACGTATTCCGACGGAGGACGCCTGGAGTCTAAGCTCCTTACGTACAGAGGTGAGTCGAGTCGAGTGGATCGCCGCGAAAGGCTTAGTGAACTTCATCTCCCTCTATCCTTTTCGTTTACATTCTCCTTAATACTCCTCCTCCTCCTCTTCCTCTCCTCCTCATTGCTACTCATTTTATTTCCTTGAATTTTATCCATTCATTCAGGTTTCTTTCTATACCCTCTTTTATTATATTTCTTCCATTCTTTGAGGTACTGTTTGTTTTTCCATGGAAGAGTTATACATAAAATTAGCCTCATTATTTACTAAAAGAGTTTATAACAATGCATTATTATTTTTTATTATCATTTATTTTTTTATTTTTTTGTTTCGTGACTTCTTGTATTTTACACATTTTAAAAGAATATTGATGAACCTCCCACATTCTTAATACTCAAAGAAAAAAATATAAACATTACACAAAAATTCAATAACATCTATTACGTCCAAATCTCTGAACTTCATGAAACTTACACAGACACGAACTCTACCTTTCTGCTTCAGGTCAGGAACCTCGAGCGTCGCAAACGGGCGTGATTGTGGGTTCGGTCGTAGGCGGGCTGGTGGGCGTGGTCCTTCTCGCGGCTGCCGTCTTCTTGCTGTTAAGGTGAGTGAGACGGTGATAATAAACGGTTATCATGGTTTGCTGTCGAGTTGAAGTATTATCTATGGCAGTTGTTTTTATTATTGTTATTATTATTATTGTTGTTGTTGTTGTCATTATTATCATTATTGTTATCAGTATTATTATCATTATCATTATTATTGTTATTATTATCATTGTCATTATCATTATTATTATTATTATTATTATTATTATTATTATTATCATCATCATCATCATTATTCTTACTATTATCATTATTATTATTATTATTATTATTATTGTTATTGTTATTGTTGTTGTTGTTGTTTTGTTGTTGTTTTGCTATCATTATTATCATTATTATTATCATTATTATTATTGTTATTATTATCATTATCATTGTCATTATCATTATCATCATTATAATTATTATAATTATTATTATTATCATTATTATTATTATTGTTGTTGTTGTTGTTGTTATTGTTGTTGTTATTGTTATCGTTAATATTATTATTACTATTATTATTATTGTTTTTGTTCTTTTGTTGTTTTTTCTCTTATTGCGACATACTTATGGTTTGCTGTTGAGCTATAATGATTTGTTTTTTGTACGCTCGTTTCATTTGTCTGTGTGATATCACGGCTGCGTTGATAATTGCGTATCTCGTCTACCTGGATATCTTTGTCTATCGTAATAAGTGGAATTGTATATACAAACAGGTATTATTACATTATTAGTTACATCTATGATTATCAGTGCATTTTTTACATTGACATCCTGATTACTGTTATCGCTACACCTCTTACTAGTACTAGCAATGTAGCGAACAAGTACCATTATTTGCAAAACTCTTTATAGCATTTTTTCTATTTCTTCGCGTTTTATTATTTCTTGTTTTTCATTTACATTTTTCTCCTTACTCCACAGATGGAGAAAAAACAAAGCGAAGAAGGGATCGTCGAGGAGGAGTTCGGCACAGTACGCTGCCACGCCGACCTCTGACCCCGCGGCGGCCTAGGTCATCTCGTCGGGGTTCTGCGTCTTGTGTGGAACTAGATTTTTAGCTTTATTTTTGTTTTAATTCTTGTGGAATTCAGGGTACATAGTACATAGTTGTTAGATGAAGTAATTGTATGTATGTTTATGTATGCATATATATATATATATATATATATATATATATATATATATATATATATAATGTTCCAAACGTTTTATGAAAGTTTTATGTGTTTCTGTTAATTTTTTTTTTTTTTTTTTTTTTTTTTTTTTTTTTTTTTTTTGTGTCTCATGCTTCATATCATTTTGCCTCAGTCTGGTAGATAAGACATAAATAATACAACGTTTGTAGACTTTCATCTGTTAATTCATATCATAGGTTTTGCTCGTCACTTTAGGCTTCAGTCACACACACACACACACACACACACACACACACACACACACACACACACACACACACACACACACACACACACACACACACACACGTCTTGTTCACCATTACCTACTCTCTTAAACCCTGATAAATGCCGATTTCAACGAGGCAACTGATACCTCAGCCAAGGCAACGGTTGCTTCAGGTAGAAATCTGTGTAGATATTTGCTCTTTCGTAAATATATGACATTGGCGGTCTTCTTAAAACAATTATTTGCTATTAATCACCACTGGTAATTCAGATATTGTTGTCAAGTTTTTTTAATGGAAAGTAACATTTAAAATCACTGATTATTGTTATTTTACTTATAATTTTGGTTGAAGATCTTTAGGGTTTTTTATCATTATTAAACAGAGATCACGTTTTTTACTAAATAAAAATGACTTTCCCTTGTTCTTAATAGTGATTTCTTAAATTGATATTGCCATAACATTATTATTTATCATTATTAGTATTGCTGTACTATTTTATGATTTTAAATTGTTTTTTTTTTCTATCATAGCAATAATTATATTGATGCTGAGGATATGCTAAAATTTAGTAAAGAATCAATTTTTTTGTCGTAAAGTGTTGTAATTACATTAACGTAAAATGTTACAGTATTACTTTTATGTATGTATATATAGATAAATAAACACTGTTCATTCCATATATATTGCTCACTCACTGATTCAAAAACAAGATAAAAAGATAATCTGTTATAGATGTTTTTTTTCTTTCTCTTTTTTTTTTATTAATGTTATCGTTAGTACTGGCTGATGTTTAGGTGCTACAGTCGATATCTGTCAAGTCCATGGGAATGCCCTGGTCTTGTGAACATTATCTGGAAATTTTGTAAATCTACTTTCACACTATTTAATGTTATGATCATTGATATTGTACAGCATACGAAATGTACTTCTGAAGAAAATATATAAAATATTTATAATTTTCCCCCTTTCCTTTGCTCAGTATGCCTTTTTGTGTTAATATATCATTAAAACCGTTAATCTTGCCAACTAACGCTTAAAACCACCTAATCATTGGATATAAAATGTAAAACACTGTAAAATGTATATATGCACACATATACATACATATATATATATATAATATATATATATGTGTATATATATATATATATATATATATATATATATATATATATATATATATATATATATATGTGTATGTATATATGTGTGTGTGGGTGTGTATTTATATATTTATATGTGTGTATCTCTCTCTCTCTATATATATATATATATATATATATATATATATATATATATATATATATATATATATATATATATGCGTGTGCGTGTGTGTGTGTGTGTTGATTATATTCATGTATATATTGTCCAGTGGTTAGAACACTGAGCCGCGGTTGATTAGGAAGGGCATCCAATCAGGTAAGGGTGGTAGTGCCAAATAACATCTCATTAATGAATTGTGATAGGCATAAGTCCTTACAATGGAATGAACAAGCAATATGTATGCGCGTGTACGCGCGCGCACGTGCACGTGTACGTGTATGTATGTACATATATGTAGATATTCACAGACAAATTTTCCGGCTTCTTATAACACTAAGGTCCGTTAGACTTTGACATTGCCTACATTACCCTAAGTCTAACGATGCAAGGAACCAGCAACTAGATACAATAGCCGAAGCGGTGGACAGATTTATCAGTAACTATGCTTTATTATAATTTGATTACATTGCATTTCAGAAAAAAATATTGGTCAGATAAAGTATCTCTTACCTAAGATATATGAAGCTAATTTAACTGTCAAGTTAATTTCAAATGAAAAATAAGCTGGTTCTAATGATGTTAGATATTCACTATTTACATAGGATAGATACTTGAATATTAGGGTTAATATCCCACATGAAGTAATTAGTGTGCGGAATTACGAGCACTCACAACAAAACAACAGCAACAACAACAACAATAACAATGATAATAATATTAATAATAATAATAATAATAACAGTAAGAATAATGTAAAGTACATAGCCTTTCCATGCTTAGTATTATGTAACTAGATACCTAGATTTTTGATGAATGATTATATTTGAGGTTAATTTATGATCCTAATAAATTTAAGTTCCCTAACAAGAGAGTAAGTAAAATAATTTTTCGTCGGCTGAACAAAGACGCAAATTCCCGCAGCAAAGAATTTTCAAGATCTTGAAGTGGAGGTCCATATCTTATCAGGATGCCAGAGGTACAAAGTTTGAAAATAAGTGTTTTGCAACGTTGCCAACAGGAATTAAGTCGAAAGACATCGTTGTGGTGTTAACAAGCCAAGTTCTTTACCGTTGTCCCTGTCATTACTGGAAGGAGATGTAGGACTGATATTGGTCACTTTCTGACAAATTAAGCCTGTACTTTAAGACACTGAACTCCCCTGAGAAACCGGATCTGTTAATGTCACTCAAAATATAATCACGTAAAAATCTGATAATGTCCCAGGTAGTGGCAGATCTTAAATGTTCTAGAGAGGGGGGGGGTGAGATTGAACGAAACGGAATGCCAACAAACGATTTACAGACGCCTTTTCCAACCGCTTTGCAACATCGATTATTGTTATAAACATGACATCAGTAGTCATTACATAAAGACTCATGGGTTCAGTGAGGAAATAAAAAGGTATACATTTAGTCAACTACGTTACCACATCCGTAATCGCAGTGTTAATTAAATTATTCAAATATTTCAGCATACTGTGCATTACTAACATGGTGTATCACAGTTATTATGGTGGTGACAGAAAGTACTTTTTCTTTCATATTTCCTCGACTCTGGCTTGACAGTAAAACTTTTACTTTATAATGTTACATACAACATACATCTAACTGATTACGTGTAACAAAAGTACAATTCAATTTATTCTCTATTTTACACTATTCTCTCCATTTATCATTTATTTTTTCACATTTGTTTATTTATTTATTCATGCATTTACATAGGCACATATCCAGAGATGCAAAGGATCTGACATCAGCGACAGAAATAGATAATGATAAAGAAAAAAAAACTGTTATCGATGAGTCCAATGCATGAAGAGTTATGACGCAATATGTTAGTGATTGGGATGAAAAAAATCACGAAATTCACATTGACAAGGAAAACGGTTTGCTAGAATTTGAAACTTACTAAGAAAAAAAAAAATAGAAAGAAGAGACATACACTAAAATTAAGAATCAGGGCGAGGGAGAAAGAGAGGAAACTGACAATATTACAAACCATTTACAAAAATGAATAAATAAATGGCTAGAATATATATGTATATAATACCCAGGTTATCTCTGCATCTACAGCAAAACACATTCACATGATATATGAATAACTGATAAGGAGGAGAACGGAACAACCTACTTCGGCCTATATCGGCAACTCGCATTCAGTGGTTATCAGGACATTGATTAGTGTGTAGACAGCTCTCCTCTGCAATACTGTCCAGCGAGAGAGCCTTTAGCATCGAAATATCGTCTTTTCACTCTGAGGTATTGTTTTTTTAATACCTTTCTTAAATCGGTTATATTTTGTGTAATGTTCATCTTGACTAATCGTTTATGAAGGTAATATCTTATGCATCAAATTCGATTACATTTTGCCCAATGGTTAGGCATCTATTTCCCTTTTTTATTTATTTCGGCTCATTGTTATATTTTCCAATATCTCTCAGTACAGTTTTCCTTCCATTTTGTTATGGCCGTGTTATGCAGTGTTGTTTAACTTATCAGAAAACATAACTATATCAATATAATTCTTACCTTACCTTGCCTACATATATACATATATGTGTGTGTGTGTGTGTGTGTGTGCGTGTGTGTGTGTGTGCGTGTGTGCATGTGTGTGTGTGTGTGTGTGTGTGTGTGTGTGTGTGTGTGTGTGTGTGTGTGTGTGTGTGTGTGTGTATGTATATATTTTTTTTTTCTAAAAGTTTATTTGTTTAATAATCATTTGTGCTACGTGTCAGTTACAAAATTATAATCCATCTGTATTTCACTTTTTTATGTTTATTCTGCCCATTACACTTTCCGTCACATCTTTAAGCTTATTAAACTAAAGTCATCATTTCTATATCATTAATTCATTAAATACGTCTCTTCGTATACGAATTATTGAAAAATGGATGACAAGCAGTCAATAATCATTAAAATGTTTACGTACTTTATCTCCAAATACCCTAATTAACATATGCAAGGATTGTAACATATGGAGAAACGTAGATAAAATAAACTCATAAAGTACACAGAATATAACGCAGCTCTGGTCAGTATGAATGTTGCAATATATTCGATAGGCAATATGACTATGAACATTATCTTTCATTCCATATTTTCTCTCACTCACTCATATTCAGTTACCTAAGTCAATGCCTTGTTTTATACTAATTTGATAAAAAGACATCCAACATAGTCACCTGTTTATTTCATCTGTACATTTTTCTCAGTCATAATCTTAAATTTTACATATTACAAAAACTAAGGACCACACAAATCTTAATTCTACATTAGATTTCATAAAACAACGTTAAAATTCCAGCGCCCTTTTGCTGTATCGGGTCACGGGGTCCATTATCTCTGTGAACAAAATCTTGCTATGATTTTAATAGGTAACTAAGTCAGCAACTGTTCCCAAGGCCAGCAATACCAGGCTAAGATTAAAGTACTGATCTGAATATCAATGTCAAGGGCTGTGTGCCAGGTTGTGTCTGTTTGCTTGTTTTTTATCCCGCAATAAACGAGACTCAAGTAGAGACAAAGTTACCGCTGAGATAGTAAATACATGATCTGTGGAATCTCTCATCAGGCAGATTATATCCAGAGAGTCATATCGTTTGATAAGAATACGGGCTTAGATATTATATAAAAATTACAAACAAAAATAAAAACCGAGAATATTTCATTAATCAACGACCAAATTTTGTCGAAGCACTAGAATCGAGAAAGAGAAACAAGGGGTTTTATATATATGTATTTTATATGTATTTTGAGGTTGGTAGATGAACTTGGATCGACACACTTCATGTCATCAGTATCTTCCTGATTTTCAACAACTGATTAGCGCTATCTCATTTCAGACGAAAGGTTTCCAGCTCATTTCGACTGATATTTGTATTTAAAAAAACCGGCAGTGACCATGACTGCAATGTAGAGCAAACAAGCATAAATCAGAATATGATAATGAAATGACACAGTAGAAGGGAGAATGAATAGGAGGAAAGAATGAATAACAGGAACTGGTTAGAACAAAAAAATCAAATGATAACAGAATAACGAAAGGGAGACGCACCAGAGAAAAAGAAAGATAAATAGCAGAGAAATAAAAACATAAAGGCAGTCAACACATAGGCTGAGAGACACTCGAATACACATAATGAGAAGAACAGAATTAATCACATTTTTCGGAGAAGTCGATGGTGGGCAGAGGCGGCGGCGTAGATAAGGCGAGACAAAGGCTGTTGATTCTGAATGGCCAGCTTGTGCCCAGGCACGTTTATTGTACTCGTTGGTGCGTGTGGGTATTCATGCCTACGTATATATTGTGCAGTACATATGTACACGCAAATTCACTTATTAACGGTATGTATGTACACATATATATACTATTTATATATGTTTGTGTGTATGTGTAGGAATTATAGCACACACACATATATATGTATATGTATATATATATATATATATATATATATATATATATATATATATATATATAGAACAGGCCGCCCCACGTTGATGAACCTTTGCACATATAATATAAGGACAATGAGAACTGAATCCGACTTACTAGCATTACTTGAGGAACTCTCTTTCATTAAATGGGATGTTGTAGGACTCAGTGAGGTTAGAAGACTAGGCGAAGAACAGAAGATACTAAATGATGGACACGTGCTCTATTGGAGAGGTAAACCTCAGGGTAGCAAGCAAGAATTAGGGGTAGGTTTCTTAGTTCATAGACGTTTAGAAAAGAATATCGTAGAATTCCATAGTATAAGCGAAAGAGTGGCTTCAGTAACAATAAAACTTAATAATAGGTACAACTTAAAGATTGTTCAAGTCCATGCTCCAACCTGCAGCCACAGTGATAACGAAATAGAAAGCTTCTATGAAGATGTTCATTTAGCCAGCGATAGAGTAAAGACCCATTTCACAATAATTATGGGTGACTTCAATGCCAAAATAGGTAAAAAGACAGAAGAAGAAACCGTAGTGGGGAATCACGGAATAGGCATTAGAAATGAGAGGGGACAAATGCTAGTCGACTTTGCGGAGGCTCGATCTCTCAATATCATGAATACATTCTTCGAAAAAAGACTAGAGCGGAAGTGGACATGGAAGTCGCCATCGGACATCAAAAACGAAATTGACTTCATACTTTCAAATAGGCGCGATATAGTAAAAAATGTGGAAGTTATTAATAAGGTAAATGTTGGCAGCGACCATAGGTTTGTCAGAGGCCAGATTAAATTACACCTCAGAAGGGAAAGGAATAAACTCATACGAAAACCGCAGACAAACTTAGCTAAATTGAGGACCAAAGCGACAGAATTTAGCATTAACATCCAGAACAGATATTCACTTCTCAGTGATGAGGATCTCAACATTGATCAGATCAACAAACAGTTCAATGACATAATAAAGGAAGCTGCACTTGAAGTAGCCGGTAAGAACGTCAAACAAAGCTCCAGTAAGCTCTCGATGGAAACTAAAGAACTTATGCAAAAACACAGGGTCATGAAAGCATCGTCAAATAGAATTAGCTGAACTAACAAAAACTATAAATAAAAAGAAGAGGGAAGATGTACGGAAATTCAATACTCAAATAATAAATGAAACAGTGATCTCAGGTACCAGCATGAAAACAGCTAAAAGGAGACTAGGAATAGGGAGAAATCAAATATATGCAATAAAGAAACCAGACGGAGAGGTAACATATAATAAGAATGAAATCATAAGAGTAGTAGAAAACTTTTACAGGGATCTATACAACACAAATGAACAGCCACAAATTGAAGCTGAACGCGGTAGCTAGAGAAGTATCTGATATCACAACAGAAGAAATAAATAGAGCGCTTAAAGGCATGAAGAGAGGGAAAACACCAGGTGAAGACGGTATTAGTATAGACCTTATAATAGATGCGGGAGAAATTGCAACAGTGAAACTAGCCAATCTTTTTAACAAATACCTCCTCAATGGAAAAATTCCGAAAGCCTGGAAAAATGCAACAATTATTTTGATTCATAAAAAGGGGACAGGAAAGATCTAAAAAACTACCGACCCATAAGTCTCCTTTCAGTTACTTACAAACTGTTCACTAAAATCATCACAACTCGCATCTCTGACAGTCTGGATTCTAACCAGCCTAGAGAACAGGCAGGACTTCCGCAGTGGATTCTCAACAACAGACCACATACACACGCTTACTCAAATAAGAGAAAAAATAAACGAATATAGGAAACCCCTGTGTATGGCATTCATCGATTACGAAAAGGCATTTGACTCTGTACAAATACCAGCAGTACTAGAAGCTATTCGAAGACAGAGAGTAGAGGAGATATATTGTAAATTATTAGAAGATATATACGAAGATGGGACAGCAACCATCAAGCTCCACACAGAAACCGATAAAATTCCAATTAAGAAAGGTGTTAGACAGGGCGATACCATCTCACCAAAATTGTTTACAGCTTGCCTTGAGGAAATATTCAAGAAGCTAGAATGGACCGGAAGGGGTATCAGAATTGGGGACGAATACCTAAACAATCTAAGATTTGCAGATGATATTGTTCTCTTCAGTGAATCCGCAAATGAATTGCAGCAATTAATAAATGATTTGAATAGAGAGAGCCTGAAAGTCGGTCTTAGGATGAACAAGAAAAAGACTAAGATCATGTCCAACAGTAGAGTTCAATTCGAAGAGATACATGTTCAAGGCGAAGCACTATAGGTAGTAGACAAGTATATATACCTAGGGCAACTCGTACAGACAAACAAATCTAGCGAAGAGGAAATTAAGCGACGCATCAGTTTAGGCTGGAGCGCCTTCGGCAGTCACAGCTGCATACTAAAAGGCTCCTTGCCATTATGTTTAAAAAGAAAAGTCTTTAACCAATGTATCCTCCCAGTTATGACCTATGGATCAGAAACATGGACTATAACCAAATTACTGGAAAGGAAAGTAATAAGTGCCCAGAGAGGGATGGAGAGATTGATGCTGGGAATTAGTCTAAGAGATCGGATGAGGGCGACGTGGATTAGGGAACAGACAAAAGTGGAAAATATACTCGGGAGCATCAAAAAGAAAAAATGGCAATGGGCAGGTCATATATGTCGGAGACAGGACAACAGATGGACAGGGAAAGTAACAGACTGGGTTATAGATAACATTAGGAGGCCAAGGGCCAGACCTGTGACAAGATGGCGCGATGAAATAGCGAAATTTGGGGGCCAAGACTGGGAACAAAAAGCGCAAGACAGACATGAATGGAAAAGATTGGGAGAGGCCTACGTCCTGCAGTGGATTGACCCAGGCTGATGATGATGATGATGATGATATATATATATATATATATATATATATATATATATGTGTGTGTGTGTGTGTGTGTGTGTGTGTGTGTGTGTGTGTGTGTATACAGAGGATAGATACGGTTCGTTAGGACTTGTTAAGAATTCGCTTGCAACTAAAGTATTTTAGAAATGTCTTAAATTCGTGTAATGAGACACCTTTTTTCCTACAAAATAGCTGGGGAAATGTAACCTAAACACATAAAAAATTAGGGGTCGGTTTATACGCCGGATCGACATATAACAAAGAAGGTTCTTATTTCAGAAAAAAAAAATCCACAGGAAACGGATTATGATGCCCAGGGAGACATCCACCTACATAACGCTGTGTGTATTAGCCCTTCTCAGCACTTGCTCAGTCATCAATGCAACGTCCACCACAAACCAAAGTAAGTATTGAGCGAAAGGTTGCTTCTGTGAAGTCATTTTTCATTTTTTATGAAGAGATTAGGTATCGTTCTAATCCAAAATATACATATGAATATAAGCGTATATAGATACAACAGGTAGACAGATATAAATCTATTTAGAAAAATATAGGTATGTATGCATATATATACTTACTAATAATATCGTATAAACAGTAATTTGTCCATTTTCTTACACAGAAATAAAGATACAGACTCTAAACTACAAATGGGTTGGCAAGGAAAAGGCAGAAGTGACAGCGTGTCTTGAAAGCGAGGTGGACGGGACCCCCTTCGGGCAGGTCGACCTCCTCGTCACCAACGCTCTCGGGAGGGCGTGGCGGACCAGAGGAGGAGGAGGAGCGTTGAAGAAAACGGAGGAGGGTGTTTGCCTCGCTGGGATAAGTCTCGAGAAGAAGGACTTGGTGAAGACGTTGAGCTTCAGGATCTTGGAGAGCGGGACTGATGAATCGATTCAGGAGCTGGAGACGTTCTTCATAGGTGAGCCTCCTTGTGGCATTTTTCATACTTTCGGACCAAAGAGGCGCCCGCTCAAAAAAGCATAATTAAGGCGAATAGTTTTCTTTATCATATCAGGTATATTTCGTGAACATGTGCATGTATAACTGTATATAACCATACGTTTACCTTGAATACAGTCCCAGAGGTAACTCCCATGAGCAAAGGCATGTACGAGATCTGCTGGGATGACCCCGAAGGACTCGCTTTTGCCTTGGCCGAAGGAGACGTTGCTCAGCCGCTCGTCTCTCCCCCGGCCGGATGCCACGAATGCTGCCTTTACCTTACTTCAAGGGTATGAAATCAGCTACGCTTGAGTGTGTGTGTGTGTATTAGGAAACTCCTTTTTTATCGGCCTCAAGCTACCATTGGCACTCAGTAATGAATAATACAGCAAAGTTTATGCATTGTTTTGACTCTGTTAACTGTAAGCTTCGCAGAGAATGTAAGAGTACTGAGAATTAACCAGTACTTGATTTCCTTGTGTAAAACATGAATAGGTTAAATGAGATCATTTCCTCTGTTCAGTAAATATGGACGTACGTACGCATCGACAAACTTTTTTTCATCTCATAGTTACCAGCGCTATTAATAATTGTATTTGTATTGTTGTTTAGTTATAGCTCTTTAGTGTAGTTATAATTATTGATAGTACTGTTATTTTGCGGTTATCACCATCAAGACATCTTTAAAGAAAACCAAAGAAACTAAAATAAATTAGAGATTAAGATAGAGCAGAATATAACGAATACATTAATAGCCCTATTATGAAATACTAGATAAAGAAGACTTCCCTCCCTTTCCACTTTTCAGAGTCCAGCCGACCTCGTGACTCTGGAAACAGCTGGTACAAAAGACTCCTTCGTCAGACAGCTGGTGCAAGTCCGCCTGCCTGAAAACCTCGAGGACTATCGTGAGTTTTGCAATATCACTTTGGCCTTCTGTTGTTGATCATACATGCACTGTTGATTATGATGACGATGATGATAGTAGTGGTAATGATAATAATGGTAATGGTGAAGATAAGAGTGATAATTGTGTTAGTAGTGGTAATACTAATCATGATGATGATGATGATGAGAGCAATGATAATAATGATAATGATGATGATAATGTTAGTGATGATATTTATGACAGAAGATAATAATGATGATAATAATAGTAATGGTGATGATGATGATGATGATGGTGATGATAATCATAATCATGATAATCATAATAACAAAAATTTATAATAATAGTAATTATAAAAATCATAATGATGATGATGGTAATAATGATAATGATAATGATAATAATAATGATAATAATAATAATAATGATAATAATAATAATGATAATAATAATAATAATAATAATAATAATAATAATAATAATAATAATAGTAATAATATCGATAATATTGATCCTGGTAATAATTATAATATTAATATAATAATGTTGATGAGGATGATAACGATGATATTATCAGCGATGTGGTAATAGCTGTAGTAGTAGTAGTAAATGTGATCATAATAATAAAGATAACAATAATAACGATAATAATACAAATTCATATCGAATAAATATATATATAACTTTTGTTCTATACTCTCTCTCTCCCTGCCTCTCTCACTCTCTTCTCTTTTCTCTTCTCTTCTCTCCTCTCCTCTCCTCTCTCTCTCACTCACTCTTCTCTTCTCTCCTCTCCTCTCTCTCTCCCTCTCCCTCTCTCTCTCGCTCTATCAAGTAAATACTCATTTCCTGGAATAGAACTTATCCAACATGCACAATAGATATGACTAAACTATTCACCTGGCGTGTGTGTCATTGTTTGTGTGTGTGTGTGTGTGTGTGTACAGCGAGAGGCACAACTATCTACCCTAGATTTGGCGAAACCGTTTGGGAAGCGTTGAGCCAATCGACACGCGTATCTGTGACACTGATGTACAGGGGGCAGGCCTGATTCACCTGTGACCTGAGGTGCCAATTCACCAATAATGGTTCGGTGCGCCTACTAAACTATTCATGCCAATTATATGCATTCACAAATTACCATCACCTGTACAGTTTCAGCATGTGTCAGTATCTCTGAACCCATGATTCAAACTGGTAGTGAATAATGGCACACACATTTTTGGCGCCTTATGGCGGAACCACATAAGCTTTTATCAGCCCCAATTTCATATCCACAATGTATTTAAAATTGCAGTATATTCGGCCAAATATCTAATCAGCAGTCACTGATGTAATATTCTGTCTTCACCAAGATATATATTTCACTTGGGTATTTAACATGCCAGCCATTCCTCTTCTAGCGAGTGGCCGAGTGCGTTAACATGCATAGTTTGTTATAAGTTGCATGGAAATTAATATGGTGTAATTTTACTTTTAGATGGTTAATAGGAATAATGTTTTGAGTACCATATATACGTAAATGTTTATATCTAAAAGTGCTCATCCGAGGGGTCGGTGGTTCGCGCTCCGCCCAGGCGTGAGAAGTTGCAATTGTCGCCTGGGGCTTACTGCTGTGGCTGGGCACCACGGCGGGTAAGGACAAAAGCCGAGTCAGCACCAGTTGACACACATTAGCGAGTCGAAATTAGTCGACACAGGCCGGGCTCCCCTCATAGCCCGGGCGAGGCTCAGCTTCGCATATCAGACTTATCCTTATCTAAAAGTAATGACAGCATGAAAATTAATATGGTGTAATTTTACTTTTACATAATAGGAATAATATTTTGAGTATCAAATATACGTAAATGTATTGTCGTTGTATTGTGTACTGAAAATTGGGGTGGAAAAATGTAACAGATTTGTTAGAAAAAAAAAAAAATCATTTATAAATATGTTTAGCTACAGCAGCTATAGATCTAGATAAGAAAACAAAATCAGACCAATGTAACCGTAATACATTAATCTAATTTTCGACATATATAATACATTAAATGCCAAATCATTAGTACTTTATTTATCGAATTACATAGCATAACCTGTTCAAGCCTCCTTGGCATTGATTCGACAAGGCGCTGGGTAATGGTTTGCCCACGTAGGGTTTCTCATACTCCTTGAACTTCGCTGGACAGAGCTCTCTGATTCCGGTCATCACCCCAACCCCATCCTCTGGTCATATAGGCCCAGAGGTTTTCGATAGTGATATTAGGGTGATCCGCAAACCATTCCCGAACAATCCTCGCAGTATGGATGGGGCTTTTATCTTGTAAGTAGAACTGTCCATGCATATATATGAATATATATACATATATATTCAAATATATATATACATATATATAGGTTAATGATATCACTGGCAGCGTAGGACTGGTTCGCACAACAGGATAACCTTAACACCAACATCAACAAAGCCAGGCTTTTTATCCCATTACGTAAATCCTAACGTATAACGTGAATTACGCTACCTGTCGTTCCGAAGTCTCATCTGTTGTCACCGTTCAGATTCATTATTGGCCTTACTATGACGTTTATATAGCATTTATAAATATTAATATCGACGAGAATGAACGGGTTCGACTTTTTTCGAAACAGTCGAACCTCGATAGTCACCATTACGCAGATATATCTACCGTACATTTGACGTTATTAGTTAATTTCTCAGAATATGTCGCTATGTTTAATAAATCATTAGACACATCTGGGAAGACAGTTGTGTCTCTCACTGCACAGTGTGTTTGCATGTGCATTTTTTTTCCGGCATGTATAGGTAATGTGTATTTTTTTTTTTCAGAAATGAATCCACATTCATCAGTTCCACTCATCATCAAGGAGCTCCACAAGGTATCCAGGGACGACGACGCGAGCGGAAGAGATCAGAACATGAAAGTTTTCTTGGATGCTCACCAAGCAACAGAGGCAGATGATTTTATACTTACTCTGACATCAAACGGGGAACAGAAATCTTATAAACTGCTTAACATCATCAATGAAGATGCCACCGAGCTTGAGTTTGAGGGAAAATTTCAAGATTCAACTAATGTCATCATAACAGCTATGAAAGATGGGACCTCTGTGGGATTTGGCTCCGTGAATCAGATCATAACAGGTGAGGAAATGCCTTTGGAAGTGTTATAGTGCTGCGTAGGAATTAATTTTCGATTTGTTCACATGGATATGTAAATGGAAACTGCTCTGTGAGTAACCTCTAGCTGTTGTGAAAAAAGAAAATACGAATGAAACTCAAATGGGTCGCCTGAAAATAACCGTTAGAAAGCTGGAAAAGTGTATATCTGTCTCTAATCCCCAAATCTCTTCCCTTCCCTCACAGACCCGGGTTCTAGGGTGGCGAGGGTAGGGGACGCCAGCGCTCCGTCCCTCAGGGTGGACCCAGGGGCGCGAAACCAGGTGGATGTCCCTGACAAGCCTCCCTGCGCGAGAGGCTCTGGCCCTTGCTACTACATCGGCCATAGCGCCCCCCTGCCCACCCTCTGCGACGGCTTTCCCGAGATCAGATTCTGCGACGCCGTTGTGTCGGAAGTGCAGAGTAATTACTAAAGGTTTCTTTCCCTGTTAAACAGGGTATCACACATTCAAGCTACGCTGCATGATGCGGTTCAATCCCTGCCATTTATGATCGTCAAGAGAGCCGTTCGAGTGGTAGCCAATAGATGGTGCTAGTAAAAATTCCACCAATCAGCGAGCGCCATTCACAATTTTTTCCTCTCCTTCGGCCAATCACGTTGCATGTAGACAAAACAGCTCGTTTATTTTTTATTGTGGTTGCAGAAAAAAACACTATTTAAGTATAAGTAGATATTTTGTAAATATGAAATTGTTTGATTTTATATATCATGC